ACGGAGACTGTGAAGTCCACCGCAGACGGACCACTTTTGGACAAAATGTCCTTTTCCATTAAAGGCAGCTCATTGTGGAATAGCCCTCCCAACTGAGATACCGGGATTGTCCCACTCTCAATAGCTTCAAAGGTCAACTCAAACAATGGTTGAGAAACAAACATACGTGCGATCACCGCTAAATGCACTTTTGTCCCGATAGCAATGAATAAATGAAATGGCTTTTGACAATAAAAACATTAAAAAATGTCATCTGTGGAAGCCGTAGCGCTGTAAAAAGCACGACCAATCATCTGAGCCGGCCCGGATAAAATAACTGGATGGCCTACCTGCCTGTCAGCATCTGTGTGTAACTTATCTCGTGCCCTCATTGGTCATGTGCACGTTCGTGTGTGTTGGAGGAGGGTCTCTGTAAGGAAGTGGCAGATCTTTTCCGGCAGTGTATTTTCAAATTCTCGCGCACTCGAGCTGGTTTCTCCATTCTTACCTACCCCACCTTTTAATGTAGTACATTTTAGAGAGAACAATTAATACATTTACACATGTGTACTGGTGTGAGAGATGGTTGCCTAGCTACTGGACTGTGCTTTCTTGTGCGATGGCCGCTCTAAAGTTATATGATCAGTCCTAGGACCAGACCTGAACCTAAGCCACACTTTATTTCAAACTTATTTTGTCCCGAACAAGAATTTTAGCTGTCCCAAAGTCTGTGCAAACAATTCTAAATGTTGTCCTTTTACATTGTTTTGTCAAATCTGGTTGTTATTTACATAAAAAGACACCATTTAAATAAAAATAAACAATGTATTTACATTTTAATGTTTGCTTTGATTAAAAAAAGGGTTATGGAATTAGTAGTTTGAATGATGTATAATACGTTAATCTAGTGTAAGGAAGTTAAATATGGCATCCTTTCCCCTCTCTGTTTCAGTTGTTTGTGCTGTGAAAACATCTCCTTTGAATTTAATTAAACGGTAAATATTTAAGTTTCTTGCCAAAATGACATTTGAACACACTTTTGTTGAGGTGATGGCCCATGTACTGGGGCTCAGTCCGTTTGATAAAAAAATATTACCTTATACAGTTATGTGACATTTGTTGACATCATACATTTAATTGAAGTCAACTTTTCAGTTTTTTCAGTGCTGCTGCAGCGGACACATGCTCGAATCCGGCCTTAACCCATGTCCTTTTATGTTTCTCCCCTTTCCCCTACCTCTCTGTTTGAACTGGCCCAAAAATTACAACTTTATTCGATTTGAAAAAGAAAAAAATGCATACTTGCTCTTAAGGTTTGTGACTTCTCACCTAATTTGTAAACCCATACTCAAGTTGTTATTCTACGACTCTTTAAACTTCTACTTAAAGACTTGTTATTACTCAACCCGTATCTGATTCTATCGCAGAAACAAACTTTAGAATATCTGAGAATAGTAAATGCTCTGGGGATTTAAAAAAAGCCTTCTTTTCAACCTGGCAACAAAGTGCTGTTTTTTGGTACCTCAGGCCTTAACAGTAACAATTTAGCAGTCATGGAAACTGCAGCAGTGATAACATTGTCCCCTGGCTCCAGTGTTTGAAGAGGAAACTGCTGACTAACTTCCTGTGCTCAACATTATAATGCAACTGAAATGAGTTGTCTGGATCCCTTTAATTCAAGCAGCGACTTATTTCCAAACTTCCATTCTTATCTTAACTTTTACTGAGAGTTGTCTCCACATAACTACTCTCCACTGAATTTACCTTTCATGAATCCATCTGTGAAACATTTCTGTCTGCTTTCAGAAATACATACAGGAAAATAACACTACCTTATTTAAGTAGGAAATCACATTCTCATGGCAGCATTGTCACTTTATGTTCTCTTGTTGGAGGCAGCTTTTGATAACGTCATTGATTAGGCTGGGTTAGCAACGACTTGTTAGTTTGGCTTGCCTGTCTCATATTCAAATTATGTTCTTCAATCGACATCATCGGTAGGGCTCAGAAAGGTTCAGTTGAAAGGTTGATATTTTCACTTTCTCTTCAGTACAGTTTTCTCCCTTCTGGCGGCGCTACAGAGGACTGTATGCCAGAACAACCTGACACAAACAGTTTCATTTCAAAGACTATCATAGCTCTAATTTGTGTATTTTTAAATCATTGCATGCCTACATTTACTATGAAGTGGATATTGTTGATGTCACATTGTACTTGCATGTCTATTGGCATTCTAGTGTAAGTTGCTTCATTAGATTAGTCGCTAAATTACATGTTATGTACCGGTAAATGTCCTGCCTTTTTGTCGATCAACACCTGTGAAACACCTCGTCAAAATGCTGCAGTTGAAAATTGACCAGCTGACTAAAACTGGCACATATACAGAAATATTGATAAGTGTGTGCTTTAAAAAAATAAAATAAAATATAGGGCCTTATTATTTATATTAATAATTTTGAATTTCAATTTAAAATGAAGCTCAGCGCAAGTTCAGACAGGAAGACCTATCACTTCGTATTGCACGTCATGGCAATACTCGCTCCCTTCACTAAATGATAGGGAGCGCCACTCCTCAGCTAACCTATCACTTCCCTCCATTCACAAGCCTAATCATCGCACCTGTTAATCCCTCTATATATGCTCTCCCCTTTTCCATCAGCTGTCTTCCAGGTGTCAACGCGCAACCCTCCTCCACCCCTTCGCCTCCTGCTTCCAACTCAGGGCCAAGCTCAACCTTCTCCCTTCCAACCGGACCTAACCACTTATCACCACCACCAGTGTCTAGACCCAGGGGGGTTCATCGGAAACGGTTCTTTCCTTCCCGAATGACATCCTACCAAACCTGGGCCTAATCGCCAAAACACCATTTCATTCACTTGCTACAAACTGTCATCATCATGTTCATTTATATAATGTGACCCGATAATAAACATGTATTCCATACATCACGTCTCTCCTGAGTGAAATGTTATTAGCAAGAACATAACAATATATCAAATAGATTACTATTTGCTCAAGTTGTACTGTATGCAGCAATGGCATGGAGGGCTGAAAAGCATTCTTGCTACTTTATAATCGGAGTGAAACAAGAAGGACAAAATGCTTCATAATGAAATCAACAAGAGGGTAGCCACTGCCCTGCGGCTACAGCTATAAATATCTTGCTTTCCACAGTTTTGAGAGAGATTTAAATGGCATTAAGTAATTGTATTTCTTCTGGCTGGTTTCATCCTCATCACATGCTGCTGGATTGACAGAAAGCCCTGCCTCTTGGGCTTAGAAATTGCACCGTTTCTGGACTGCTGAGCATAATGGAGCCGTGTATAGCACAGCAGAGTGCTTAGTGAGGGAGACATCTGATGATGAAAAGGTGATGAAGGAGGAGCAATAGTTGCTTCACTACCGTTGAACAAGGCTGGACAATAACATTGGTGTCACATATAATAAAAAATATCTAGTTCCACTGCCAATTACTGCTTTGTGATTCTATATTGCACAAGTAAACTGCAATTTGAGATTAGACCAATTAACCATTTCAGACAGCTTCTAAAAAAAATATTTTAACTGTACACATTTAAAAAAGAAAAAAGGTGAAACTCAACTTGAGTTGAATGGAGGGATTTCTTGGCCACTTGGTTGGAATACTTTCATCAAGTTCCTACAACTTCTAACTATTATTAACACATCTAGATTACACTAAATTGGTTTTGTTTCTATTCACCTTTTTAATTGTCGAATAATAACTGTCAGCTGTTCCATTATGCACAACAGTCGGTTCCTAACATTGACTGAGGCTTGGTGCTCGACAGTAATTTGCTAGACTGTCCATAACACTGTAGGAAAAGCACAAGTCCAGATAGATAGAATTTCCTTTAGCTTTTTCAGTTTAAGGGTTCTTGCATTGTGCATACTGACTCAGGCCTAGCACCAAGGGGGGGCCCATGGCTCATTGAAAGCTGGAAACTGACAATTAAGAACTCACAAATTGGTGAATCGCGGTTAATAATTAAATAATAAAGAAAGCTCATTTCTGTCAGCAGTACAGACTTTCTGTCAGTCAGACGGTTAGGTAAAAGTTGAGATAGCTATCATGTGAGGAGTATTTACTTAAACACTTATTTCTTTGCATTTATTTTTAAATAACTTATAAAGCAGTGTTTGAACCAACCTTAGTCATGGGTTTGTTTTAAATACAAACATTTCAATATTCCTTTAACACTGTCACAGGCATATTTTTATTAAATGATTAAGAAAAATCGCCAATGTGCCCTTTTATTCATTTGAGCCCCTTCCTCTGTAACATCCTCTGCACGTACCTAGTGCCCGAGAACTTCGAAAATCTGTCGGCATCTGTATCGTTTTCCGTTGAGTGAAATTCCAGGCACACATACAGCATGTTACGTACAGATGGGGGCATGTGGCTATAATTATTCAGCAAGATCAATAAGCTGATGTGCCCCGCCCAATATTATTTTTACATTGGGCCCGCCCTTGTTAATCAAATGCCCGCCCACAGATTTGTGTCTTCCGCCGGGTCTGTGCTGACTCACTCTCACACTGTCATGGCTTTCTGGGACACTTGACAAAAGCTGTGTTTCACTTAAAGATTCCTAGAAGAATATGCTAGTGCTTACCTGTATATCAGGACCTCATCATCAGAGCAGTTGTACTGGAGCTGATACATCTTCACCTTGGGAGATGATTTGCTCACTGTCCAAGTGACCAGCGCGGAAACTGCTGTCACCTCAGAGACGGTCACAGTCCTCTCTGGTTGGCTCTTTGGTGCCCCTTTGCTGATCCTTGTGGTCCCTGTAATATCAGAGAGGCGTGACTTCGGTGCTGATGGCTGCCCAGTGCCGTTGCTGAGGTGGGGGAGCTGAACGATGGATACCTCCACAGAGGCGGTGGACTCCCCTGCCACATTAGCAGCAATGCAAGTAAATGAGCCAAAGTCCTTGGAGGTGGTGATGGTGATGCTGAGGGTTCCATTGCTGTATACCTCGGTTCGGGAGGAGTTTCCAAGCAGCCGATCCTCGGGGGAGATCCAGTGGATGGTAGGAGCAGGGTCGCCAGTTGCTTCGCACCTTAGGCTAGCAGTCTGGCCCTCCAACACCAGCATTCTGTGGGTGTGCTGGGTAATAAGAGGTGGCTGACACAGAAACTCCTCCTCCTTCACGTTCCAAAAGTAACGACCCTTCAGGGCAGAAGGCGAGGCACACGTTTCCAAGTCATCGTCTCTCTCAAGCCTCCGCAGCCACAGCATCTCACAGTTGCAGTGCAACGGGTTCCCGCCTAGACTGAGAGACAGCTGGGGAGCGTAGGGTGTGGTCAGGATCATTGAGTCCTGGGCTCGGGCAAAAATGGGGTCTGGTGGTAGCTTCTGCAACCGATTGGAGGTCAAGTCCAATCTAGCAAGTCTTTCCAGGTCAGTGAAGGTTCCTTCTGGAATAAAGTCCAACAGGTTGTGGTCCAGACTGAGCTGGTGCAGGTTGATCATCAGTCGGACTGAGTCCCAGGGCAGGGACATCAGGTTGTTGTAGGAGAGATCCAGATCCTCCAAGGTGGGTGCCAGGTCCTCAAAGGCCTTGTCATGGATGCGTCTCAGCTGGTTGTTGTTAACGATGAAGTGCTGCAGGTTGACCAAGCCTCGCAGGTCATCGGGACCCATCTCCACCAAGCGATTGTTATCCATATGAAGTGAGCGCAGTGTTTCTAAGTCCCCAAAAGAGAAGGGCTGAATGTAACTGATGGTGTTTCTGGACAGGGTCAGGTCTACCAGGTCAGTCATATTGGCAAAGTCCTGTTGCGTGATGCGGAGTATGTAATTTCCTCCAAGACGGAGCTCCACCGTGCCTTGGTCAATGTCCGGAGGCACGAATAGAAGGCCTTTGGAGGGACACAATGTCCCCAGGGATTCAGACAGATTCTGGCACACACAGTACTTGGGGCATGCATTGGTGGTCATCACTGTGGCTCCCAGGACCAGCAGGCACCAGATCATGTGGTCCATGGTAGAGTCATACATAGGAGCCTGGGGGAGGAACACAAAAACAGAGATAGATGAGTTATAGGGATTATTTGCAAATGTTATCATCTTTCAAACGTTATCATACATTCAACAGTGCCCCCCTGAAAGACCATTCATGTGAAACATTCCTTGATGAAGACATTAAGTATACTAACATTGTATCAGGTATTTAGGGGCAAGAAATATCAGGTCAACACGTTTATGACATTTAAAAAAAAACTTGATGCAAGGGCTCAGCTTAAAATAAAGCTATGCCCCAAGAGTACAATCTTGGTATTGCATGATGTTAGGAAGGACAAAACATTCTTAAAATGTGTTAAAAATAGTAATCTCATGTTCATAATAATAACATGTTCAAGGGCAATTAGATTTTTGTTTACAATAACTATGTTTCCACATATAAAGAATCTGGATATTGACATGCAGCATCTTTTTTTTGTCAAGGGCATACATCTTGTGTTTGCTTGTACAGTGTGTTCCATAATGGAGTTTGTTGGTTTTTGGCCCTCAGGGACACTGAAGTAACCTTTATCTGGGATGTCATGTGACCCAGATCCTTTTCTCTGGTTGGATATAAAGTATCCAACCAGAGAGATGTGCTGTGATCAGAGAATACCCTGCTACAACACAAGTGGAGATCAGTAGAAAGCAGGCACTCAGAAACGTGGTGTAAGCTGCAACACATGGGATTGTCATAAATCAGCATATCTCAGTAGTCAAATAAAATTGGGCCATTCCAGCCTACTAAACATGATGAAGTCTCCTCCCTTGTTATGCAGCCAGCTAGATGCAACCATGCACCTGCAATTTCATTCATAATTCATTTTTGCACGTGATAATCTCTCTGACAAACAGTCTAATAACTCTGATAAAGACAGCCAGCAGCCTAAAACAGAAATTAATTCAGTGTACCTCTGTGCTCATTCATTTACATGCAGTGCCATTATTCAATATTATTATTCCAAACAAACACGCGGATAAACAGCATGAAATACAAAACAGAAAGCTTTGCAATATAAACTGAGATCATCCCTTCTTTTCTTGCTGGCTCTCACCCACACATAGGCAAAACACACATCTACATCTTTACAATGCACATCTATACACACAGATGGCTGCATACACCATCACATTACCAAGTCTGTGATGAATCCTATTTTTGCATTCAGTTGGACTAGCTCTACCCTATCAACGGCATCTGAACACAAGATGTTCTGCCACATAAAGCTTCCCCTGCTTGATATGGTGGTAAGATAGATTTTCTGATGGTTGTAAGTGTAACCAGTCTGTTAGGTGTGTGAAAATTGGACCAGTATTCCAGGTTCTTAAAGGATGGGTAATAAATGAAGTCGAACACCAGAGTAAGGAGTGAATACTGAGATTTTATAAAGAAAAAAAGATATACATTGGCACAGGAATAAACAACAGTCTAAATATTTTCAATTGTTTTTAAAGCGCTTGACACCTGGGTACACCCCAAATAAAATACAAATAAACCCCCAAAAGAAAATAGTTTTTTGTTCAGTTCCTGTAAGGTCCTCTCAAATTCCTACCACTGGTAGCGGAAAGATGAGGTGTTCAGGTTGTCATTGTTAGCTCGCCATCCCCCTCGTCAGGGAGAAAATCCAGAGTCCAAAATCCAGAATCCAGAAAATCCAGAATCTTCTTATCCAAGGGTATCATGAAAACCCAGCCGAGGAAAATAAAAATAATAATCAAAACCCCCGCTTTCAAAGGCAGCTCCAACCCGCAACGACAGCCCCAGAGATTGGTCAACCGCCGTCCTGGTCAAACTCTTAATGTGCGCTGAGACGCTTAAAGTGTCTCCGTTCTTCCAGCGTGACGCTGCTCCCTCACACACACATTTCCAACGTGCCCTCACCTACCTGAGTGAGGAGGCGGGACTTGGCGGATTTTTATCCAACTGCAATCATGATTGCGTTATGAACAAATGAGCTTTGTTCTTAAAAGTTGACCATTTAACTAAAATATACTATAAAATAACTAAATAAATAATACATAATTATTAACAAACAAAATACAAGAACCTTGTAACCTTGGTTTATCCAGTGGGTTACATAAAGATGCTAAATCGTTGAGTGTAACAGCCAGGGGGATGCAAAAGAAAATGGTAAGCCAATGGCTGACTGTCAGGGATAACCCCGATTCCACCGGGTCCGTCTGCGTCGGGTCCGTCTGCGTCGCGTCACGGCTGCGCCACGGTTTTGGTCCGGCCTCCTCCGGCGTCATACCCCACCGGGCGCGTTTCAGAAGCATTTCAGAAGCGGAGCGTCTTGCGTGCCGGCTCAGAGTTGTTGTTGATTTGGGCATATTTCCCGGACAGGCTACTTCGTACAGACAAAGTTAATAATAATTGTAATAGTCCAGTTATAAACGACATTAATCAAAGATGTGTTGCTGTATTTTAGTGGTAAAAAAATGCATTCATCATCATAATTATTCTATATATATAATTTACACAGTGCCTGTAAACCGGAGGAGAACGCTGGCATTTCTCCTCCTACTTGAAAGACTACGGAGGGATAGGGTCTGCAAATTAGTTTATTTTGGGGATTGAGTGGATGCTCTGACCGGTCCACTTCATGCCCGGCGCTATGTAACGCCTCACGTCGAAAAATAGACTTGAATCCTATTTTGAGCGGAGCCCAGCGCCGACACGCTTCTGGGACGCTTCTGAGCCGTAACCAACCCGATATCACGGCAAGACGTGAAAATGTGACGATTTACCATGCTGGGAGACGTGAAGATGTCACGATTTCGTCCCTTCAAACGTGACAGTTACACGGTATTGTTAAACCCTTGTTAACCAGTGGAGAAATAAACGGAAATGCCAAGGAAATGCTACCCCGACGGTCGGTTGTTATTGTCAATATTAATATAATAATGATTTATTTTGTAATAGTCACACTCAATTACGCCGGTTTTCTTGTTTCCCCAGCTGGTCGACACCTCTTTTAGCAGAAACAAAGGCTACATTAATGTATTAAATCGATGTTAATCCATGCGTGTGGATGTGGAATTAACGGACGTGACGTTGTGCGATTGAGTTGCCAGGCAACAGCTTCGGTTCATGTTAATTTACAAACTCTTCAACTACAACCGTAGTTATATTTAAAAACATGTTAGAAGGCCTCACGAAATACTTTAATGCAAATTAAAATGTAAATGTGAAGGAATGTGTGTATAACAAAATACATCGGTGATAAACGAAACCGGAAACTGACGTAGGCAAGATCCTCAGCTCGATATTTGGATGGTTTAGCCGCAATGCATGCTGGGATTTGGTGTTTATGTGATATGAAATCTGAAAACGTTTTTTAAAAATAAAATAATACTTTATTCCGAGTGTGCTTGCTTTTCTCTTTGAAAGTCATCATATAACGGCATTGTAATACACGGTTCGGCTGCATTAAATATTACATATCTGCAGTGCCTGAGACGGGTCGGTAATGTAGTGAACGGAGTAGTCGGTGTAAAGAATATGATAGATGTTATCCAAAGTAATACCTGGTCAAATGATAACTCTCCTGTGGAATACCTATGTTTCGTACACAAAGGTTGGAATTTCTAAGGATTCCTTCTTTATACGATCACGAAATATTAGGAATCCAATCTAATTTTAATGGTTATTTGGTTTATTATTTGTTTATTCACGGAGACTTGTATCAATTGTAACGTCCTTTCGTTATATAATCTGCAATTTTCAAAAAAAAAGTCCGAATTATAAATAGAATCTGATGTTTAGCAGTGTCACACACGACAAAACGAGACGTACACCACTGGTAGTTTCTACCAAAAGTAGGGAGGTATTAAGAAGAAGATATGGGGTTTCGAAAAAAGAATGAAGTTTCTTTCTGAATTGGATTCATGAGAGGAAATTTACAATATCTTAATTCGGAATAATTCAAACAGACAAACGTGTAGGAGGATAATTTTAAGATTATTATTTTATTAGTTAATTATTACCGAAATTGTGGTCCACAGAAAGATAGTCGAGACGTGGCAATACAACATTTATGTCGGATAGATGGTTAACCTAGTTTATATTTTCAGTCGGCTTAAGTCACAACTATGACGCTCCTCTGGCATAACACACTTTCTTTACATTCCTACGAACAAATTAACGAATATATAAATACCTAGGTGCAGTGCAAAAGTCAAAAACCGCGTCAGTAAGGACAAACAGATCTTCCAGGAAGAATCGTCCCGGAGATATTTAT